TGGTTTTCTTCATGATCAGCAGAATAAACTATGGAACACAGGCAAGAAGATATATGGGTCCCTAATATGTATAATTTATGCAGGTTTCATAATTAGGCTTTCCTTGGAACAGAATTTTATGTATGTATGCATGTACGTATGCATTTATTTATTCACATATTTATAGGCTGCCTATAACTGCCAAAAGGTCTTCCTAGGAGGCTTGCTTAGTTCAGAGAACACTCATATCCAGAATAATAAAGCAGATATGATTAAGAATATGTGAAGTTTTCTCAGTGGCAAGGAACAGTATTTGTACTGCCTCTCAAGGAAAAGCAAATATTTGCTTTCTGCTGTTTCCAAACAAGCTGAAGTTTCTGGGTATGTTCAATGATAAATGAACAGTCTAATTTTCTTTGCAAATTATTTATTATACCTCTTTTAGTGCCACTTAATTTGCAGCACTCCAGCAAAATATCAGTTGTTATCTTTTCGAGAAAGTAAGCCTATAAATTGAAGAGAGTTGACCCTCAAAGTCAGTGATACAACTCAGTGTTTATGTGCATCTTCGCTAGCTGGCTGGCCACTCCTTACTAAATGATGCACACTGGATTTAAACCAATGGTTCCAGATCCAGCAAGTAATATTCATGGAAACCTGTTTCTGTTCACAGCTTTGTATAACTGGATCTGAGGTCTAATTAAAATTAGCTACTTCTGTATGGTATTTCTTACCCAGTTTTTATTCTTTTTTCTTTACTCACTTAGCTTGTCTTACATAATATACTGGGTGTTATTAAAACAGTAAATAAGTACCATACTGTACTGTGATATTTACTTTGCCAGTCTATTCCTTATATTTAGAATGAATACAGCATTGAGGCTTTATATCATGCCACAGTAAATGTTTACTTTCATTGGTGCCAACTGTATGCATTACTTTCTTTACTAAGTCTGAATCTTAGCTCTTTTTATTTTACTTTGCAAAGCTTTTACCTCCTTGAAAGGGTTCTCTTTCTGTTCTGTAGGTTAGTTCATAGTTTTGTGTGACTCTGCCTGAAATATGTTGAATGGCGATTAAAAATGACTGATACTAGAATCTCACAACAAAATTAGGATATGGAAATGTTTATTACTGTTAAATAAATAACTTTACTGGTGTCACAGACTGCATGACTGTATACAATCAATATTACTAGTATGCAAATAACTTTATTATAAAACTTATTGCTGATATGAAATGATTGTTCACAAATTGTTTGAAGAGTATTTTATAAGGAAGTTGCATACTTTCCATTTGTCCCAGGAGTTGGTATAAGGCAAGTGGGGATAACCTATTTTCTTATTTTAATTAATATTTTGTATGTCTCTTCTTATGTGTCTGTGCCTTATTGTTTTGTTTTTTGTAAAACAGAAGTCACATTTTGGATTGAAAATTAACACAACTCACAAAATGATGGAATTGATTACATTGTTACTTTCAACCTTTGAAGATAACTTGATGTTCTAGTGTGTTGCAATTATTTGTTGACAGTAATTAGAATACAGTAGGTGATATAGTTTTATGTTTTCTTCTATGATAGAGAATATTATTTACATTTTCAGAATAAGAGTGTGTCCCTTTAAGTCATGTGTTGTTTTGACTTTGATAGATGAGCATTGGGTATTTCTTCCCCAGAATATTTTATCTTGCAGAAATGAAATACAAATATAATGTGAAGCATTGCACTGAATCAGAGGAGCTTTTACGCTTTGGAGCTTTGTGCTGTATCAAAAGAGTTTTACTAGCTGACTAAGTAAATGTTAGTAATATGTAACAGTGCTGGGATGAGAGGAATGTGGATTGTCAAATAAGTCCAACATTGCACACTTGAGAACTTGTGATGGGTGCCATATTGAAATGGACTTTTGAAAAGATATAATATCCTTTTGATGTTTGTTTCTTGTTCCTATGTCAAAACCAGATGTGACTGTGTATCTTCTGATTTCCAGCAAGCCTACAGTTAGGGGTTTTCTTCAACAAGTCAAACTAGAGGAACTTTGCGGATAGTTAGGCAGGCAATGAACTTATTTATTTATTTATTTATTTATTTATTTATGACACTAAGTCAGGGATCTCTGGGCTGCTCACAAAGACAATAGCATACAAACAATTTTTAAAAGCAATATCAAACATCTTAAAATGATAATTAACATTGGAAAAGGAGGAAATGCACATTACAAAATAAAAGCAAGCAGTAAGAAAATCACACAAAACCATAATTATACTAAAAACAGGTATGAAATAAAAGCAGGTATGTCTTCACCTGGCATCAGAAGCTAAAGGCTGCCAAATGTACCTCCTTAGGAAGCACGTTCCAAAGGCAAGGTGCACTAACAGAAAAAGCCTTTCCTTGTTGTTTCCCCCTTTACTTCCTTTGAGAGGGCCTCACACAGAAGCACATCTAAGTTTTTTGTTGAGGTTTACTGCTATGTGCAATATCCTATAAAACAGCTGTGCTCATGCTGTTTCTTTGTGCCAGCAGGAGTGCCTGCTTGTGCAATGGGGATTTTGCATTTTTGAAAGTAACCCATGAAAGAATGAACATTCTCATTCCTAGATTGGCGACAGTTCAGCAAACTCCATTGACTTTCCTCACCACAGAAATGAGCATTTTTGGCTGCTGAAAGTAGGGGGATAAAACAACAGCATTTGGAACTGCTTTGGAGTAAGAAAAGGTCAATATCAGCTTGCACTGAGAGACCCTGGATTACATCTAAGTCTAACTCTGAGTCTAACTCTTTGAGACAAGGCAGTTTACATGAGTTTGTATCAGCTATACTTTCCTTTTCCTCCTCCTCCTCCTCCTCCTCCTTTTTTATTTTAGGGTAAGCACAAACTGTCTGATCTGGATTAGAACTATGGGGTGTCATGGGAAGGGGGCTTTTCCTGTGCCTATTCAAAACTAAAAACAAGAATAACACAACCTGTTTCCTGGACACACATTTGAAATTGAGCTTATTTTGGCCTTACATGCTGCAAGATCTGTCAAAAATTTGTTGAGAGCTCTAGAACACCTTTTGCAAACAAGTAGCTGCATTGGCTAAATCCAGCTTCTCCTGGAGCCAATGTTAGGGTCTCCTGCCTTCACTTCCATGTAGGATAAAATGGCTGCATATCAATTTTTGATCTTTGTTCAATTTAGCCTGGAGTTTTGTGGCAAGATAGGAGACCTAGATGTGTTTACACAAACTATATTTTAGATGGCAGAGGAAACTTTTAAATAATACTTTATTCCAAGAGCTGACCCAAGCAAACTTAATGACTAAGACAGTTTTAAAATTCTTAATCTCTTGTGCCAATTGGAGTGTGATAGCTTAGGTTTTTGGTTAGGTGTTAGTCTGTTTTCCTGAAATAATGGGCTTGTTGTAGGATAGTGGTAAAGCAATTTCTCTTGACAACAGAAAATCCAGATCCAGCACAATTTATCTGGGGACCTATGGAGATAAAGGGAATGCTCCTGCCAAATGTGCCAGATGCATTAGCATATCTCTGCCCCCTGATCACCCTTTCAAGGCCTCAACCACTGGGCATGCTAAAGAATCCCCCTAGGAAGTGAAAGGCCCTGGGTGAATGTTTAAGAACTTCCCCCAAAGTGACCCTCAACTAGTCTCCCTGGCAAATGTCACCTATTTGCCAGAGGCATCTCAACGCATACTGAAACTGGCCAACTGCGCTTAGTTGGCTAGAGCAGGTCACACTGGATTTGGTCTTCATTTTCCTCCTCTGTTACAGCCCACCAGCCAGGGAAAAATACCTGAGAAGAGCAAAGGAACCTGGCTCATGGTTTTCTGAGGCAGTGCAGGACTGGGTGAGAGGACTGACAGCTAGCATGTGCCAGTACTAACGATATGCAAAGTGGTTGTCCTGGGTAGAGGAGCAGCAGTGGATCGGTGGCCTGGTCCTGATCTGCTGCCCCACCTGTTCCACTACCTGAGGATTACAAGTAGAGGTCCAATAATAGTCTAAAACTTCCTTTTCTTTTATTTGAGCCCACCTGAATATACATTGTACTGAGGAGTTAACTAGAAGAAATACAGAGTGCTTGGATACAGATCAATACTTGGAGGGTAAATGGCTTCTTTGCACCAAGTTCATTTGTTTTGCATAGTTTTCAATCATAGCAATGACATTTGTCAGAATGTTAAAGAACAAGCACATTCTTGTGTTTGTATTTAAAGATTAAATAAGGAGGATATTTTGTAACATTGACACTGTAGAAAATAGAATATTTTCTTATGACTTTTGGTGTCATCTTTTTTTATGTAGTTTGAAAAATGTAAACCCTTCAGAAACTTCTTAAATATGCTATCCAGCTGCACAGTTCCTAGGAGTGTATGTGCTCATCTGTCATGAGTGGTCACAATAAATGAAATGTTTCATCAAATACAGTTTTTGCAGGGCTTTTGACAGCTACATTTCATCATTCTGTGCAGAAAATGGTTTTCTGTTAAAAAAGATCACTTGATCAAAAATGTCTTGTTTGCTGTAGATACTACTGACAGATGGACTAGATTAAGACTGTTCTATGCCCTGTTGAACTAATTAGTGAGTAGATTTGCATAGGATTGCATAGGCTGTGAACCTAGATATTCCTATGTAGGAAAAAGTCCTGTGGAACTAAATGGAGCCTACCTCTGAGTAGACATGTATAGAATTGTGCTGTAGATCTATCGTTAGGGTATCATTAGCATTTTTGTTTTCGCCCCTTTTGCCTTTGGCTTCACTTACTATTGCAATGGAACTTTGCCCTTGGCTGAATCTGCATCCCTAATTTTATCTCCATCCCTGATTTTTTCTTTTATGATTTTAAAGCCATGATTCTTAGTGATTTTTCTAAACATACTATAGTTTCCAACAGGAAATGGTTTCAGGAAAGGAACAATTTAGATATTATTCTTTATGCATTAAAATATATCAAAATAGGAGCAATTATTTCTCTTAATTAGTTTCTGCTTCTCTCTATCCTCATTTGAATACAGACATGGGATGTAGAGCTGGAGCGATCTGCACAGTCCTGGGCTGAGACATGCCTTTGGGAACATGGGCCTTCAAGTCTTCTACCATCTATTGGGCAGAACTTGGGAGCACATTGGGGAAGGTATAAAGAGAATATTTGTTACATATATTATCAAATGGTGTAAGAACAATTTCTGGGGAAGGGATAAATATGATTGAAATTGTCCCTGTTGTCTGAATGATCTTGTAATTTCATTGGTTTCTTTTTTAGATATAGACCTTTAACATTCCATGTCCAATCATGGTATGATGAAGTGAGAGATTTTACCTATCCTTACCCACAAGAATGTGACCCTTATTGCCCCTACAAATGTTCTGGGCCTGTGTGCACTCATTATACACAGGTGGGTATGAATTTTAAACTTCTCAATATTAAGCTTATGCTTATCAATTTGATGTATATTTTGCAGAGCTAGAAAGTTGATAGGAAGTATAAAAATCATTCATTGATTGTCAATTTCTTCTTACTGTAGAGAAAAGCTTATTTTTCTTCATTGTGCAATGAATTCTGTGCCAAAGGAAGAGAAATTATGTTATATTAAATTCAGGTTTCCTTTTCTACAAAGTTCTTTAAAAATAAAAAGGAATGTTTAAAATATTATTTAAATTGAAATATTAAAATATTAAAAAGATGAGAGGAATCCAGTAAAGATTTTATACTGATGGAATGTGGAGTTATAATTCCTTGTCTACCCCACAAGCCCAAAATTTGCTCCATTATGGTTTTAAGAGTAAAATACAGTGGGTTCAATCCATACTTAATCATATTAAGGGCACTTGCTTAGGAATGCTGGAAGTTGTAGGGCATTTTTGTGTTTCAATGGTTGTAGTATTATGCCTTTTTAGCATAATATCAGTAAAATTTAAGTTACTATACTCTAAGTATGGATAAGTTGGATATGATGCCAACTCAAGCATCAGACTATTTTCTTTCAGTGAGATTGACCAAAGGAATCCTTTCAGAATCTTGTTGTGTTAACCACATACCTGCTGTCTTATATTTCCCCTACAGTAGTCAAAGTATAGTCATATTTGTGAATATTCATTGAGACCCTTATATTAAATTTCTACTCTCTGTGTAAAGTACACCTATAAACATTTTTTTGGTAAGGAAAAAATGAAACTGTTACTTTTTGCCTTTTTGAGATTTCATTATTAGGCATGTTTGTTTTAGTCTGAATGTGGTGTTTAACCACTCTGTCTTTTTATCCTGTAGGTGGTATGGGCTACAAGTAACAGAATAGGCTGTGCTGTTAACTTGTGCCATAACATGAATGTCTGGGGACAGATATGGCCAAAAGCCATTTATTTGGTGTGCAATTATTCTCCAAAGTAAGTACGCTTATGATAGCTAAATGGGCTATTTAGAGAGATGTATTTTAAAAAGTACACACTATTTTTGCTGTTTAAGAAAAGGAAAGCTACAGGAGGTGGGGGGTCGATCAATTTGGATCAGAGAGAATGAGGAAATGCTTTATTCTCTCTCTGCATATTACTTCTCCACTCCAAATTCGCCCCTCTCCCAAGCTGCAACTCCCTGTAAGGCTCTGAACACGAGTATGTGAAGATAGTGGTCTCTGCCCATTATCATTTGCTTACGTTCTCCTGTTCCCAACTTCCTCTTATGGGTTTTGGTCACAGAAAAACTGTTCTCACATGCCCATAACAGGTACCCTAACACCAACACCAGCATTTATTTGGTAAAGTACAAAGCAACATATAATCCCCTAATTAATGTTGGAGGGGGAAAAAAAGGCTAAATTTTCTGTTTCAGGTTTCTGTAACAATGTCTTGCATTGTTTCTAGTGGAGATTTTATACCATGCAATGCTAACATATTTTGAATTTGGAAAGCGCCAACCTAAATCTGTTATATTCCAAAGTCACAACATTCCAAGCATTCTCTAAAATCTGCCAGCTCTGTTTATGAACATAATCTGTTCATTTTGTAACTGATGATTAGAAGAGATCTGATTGTCAGCAGCTTAGCTGAATTACAGTGATCTTCCATAGTGTTAAATAAGGTTGTGCTCAGCTTCATTATCCCAGTGTGGGCACAATATGATAGCATTATGCCAGTGGAATGACCAGTGTATCCTGTACTTACAGGCAGGGATAAAAGACACAATCAGAAAATCTCCAAAATTTAGAAATCCCTCTCACCGATCCATGGAAACTTGCCCTAAGTGATACATGTGTACTAGAAGAGTGGATTGAATTGTTTTTTTTTTAAATTAGCTCTTTTATTTAATGATTTTAATTTCATTTCCAAGATAATAACTTAAGTATCAAAGTTTAGAAATCTTAAGAAGGCATAAAACAGAGAAAGTCTTCTGCACATAACATGGGCATTTTCTCCAGACAGTCTAATGAAAGCATATGTCAGTTTATTCTATTACTGTACAACATTAACAATATTGACTATGGTCCCTGAAGGTTCCTTCACCTAGACAACTTAACTTAACTTAGACTTAACTGCACATATAGAAAACTAAGGAATAAAGAATAACTTAGGCTCTTTCTTTTCTGTACAGTACAGGCCTAGCAATTCTCTTAAGGGAACAGGTTGAATCTCTTTCAGCTTTACAGACTAATTCCATTTTGGAGAACCTATGAGAATGGCATATTTCAGTGCTGGGTGGGTGGGGCCAAAGGAAAAAAGGCAGGATCAAGCATGCAAGGAAGGTACCTCAACTACTTTGTAAAACCCAGCGCTCTGGACTGGGATCAGGTATGCCAGCTTTCATTCCTGGGCTCTGCATTCCTTTCCAAGCCCAATGTCTACTCTCATTAAGAAAAATATTGATGCCTTTCAGTTTTGCCCATTCTCCACCTCGAGTTTTGCCCATTTATGTGTTCCTTCAATGTTTCTGCCTTCACTACTGATCAAGATTAGTTACAAATATTGTAACCATAGATCTTCTTCTCCTCTTTACTAAAGGCATTTATTGTGCCTGCTGATCAATAAAATCATGCTTCAAAAGTCCACAACAGCCTAACTGCATCTATCTTTGTCCTCTACCAAAAGCTTTTCCCTTTAGTAGTTAATCTACAGTGCACAGTATACATTGCAAATTATAGTTGGCCAGGTCGACTCAAATTATATTGTTTTTATATTGTGTTTATTTATTATTGTGAGCCGCCCCGAGGCTTCAGCGAATGGGGCGGCATAGAAGCCTCCTAAATAATTTAAATGAATAAATAAATAAATAAAATAGTTTCTGCTAATGTTCTTAAGACAGCAGACAATAAGGATGACTGGTGTGCCCCCCTAAAATAGTCCATGTGAAACAAATAGCCACCCTCAGTGAGTGAAAATTACATTCTTAACCACAGGTGCTAGATTGTTCTTATTAGGTTAGTGGTGGTCTTTTTTAACTATGAAAGGTAGAATATTTTCATAAGTGTGTTTCACTAAATAGTCTTTTCTCCTCCTAGGGGCAACTGGTGGGGACATGCTCCATACAAACATGGTCGCTCATGTTCTGCATGTCCACCTAGTTTTGGAGGAGGCTGCAGAGAAAATCTATGTTATAAAGGTATGTATTCAGCAAATTAAAATATGTCTCTACTGCTGATCCCACACTTTTCATGGTGTCCCAGGCTGCTGGAAAGAAGGTTACAATTTCATGGGGAGTCCTGTGTATTGGCAAAGACAACTTCATATTTAACTATGCAAAGGCACTAGTGATGAGCATAAAAACATAACTGATAGTGGGTTTTCTAACCTGATAGGCTATCCTTTCTCCCTGTTTGTTGAACTGAAATGAGCTATATTCTCAGCTTCTGAATTGAAGAAATGGAAATAACTGTGTGAAAACTAAGCTGGTTGGCTCAAATTAAGCACATCTTGATTTTTAAAAGTCAGAAGACCTAATTTAAGCAATTGCTCTTGTTGCCATCATAACTTACTGGACCACTTTTACATTCTGTCTTAAACTTCTTTGGCTTTAGCAATTCATACTTAAAAGGATTTTGTAACTAAAACATGAAAATAGATATATTATTCCATCTTTTGAGGAAACTAAAATTCATGCAATTAATTCATTTAGAAGTATCTTCAGCAGGCATTTAGGTGGGATAATGCGACATATTCTTCATCTCCTGATCTACATGTATTGATTAGGATGTTGGCAGAGAACCCCAGTACATAGAGGTGCAGAGAAATCTCAGTGTGAGATCCAGAACTCTGCTTTGGAGCATTACGGAGTGTGTAAAGAAAATCTTTTTCATTGTTCTGTACATAATGTACCACATATTGAAGAAGGAGGCTACTGCTGTGATCCTGCTAACATATCATATCTTTATTATTCCCTGTTTGTTGACTTGAGAAGGACTTGATAATCTCTCATTGCTTTAGGAATTTTTCCTTTGGTTATTGTTACATTGGCTTTTGACTGTGACACTCAATTACTGCCATGATTACAATATAAGACAGCATTTGATAGTAAAGATAACAATAACCAGCTGATATTAAATATTTTAAAGTCCCATTGCTTTCTCATGGGAGGATTTACTCACAATGGGATCTAGAAGAGTTTAAAGATTGTAATCCTGTAAGTGAGATCCTACAAATAGGTTCCTTTGACCTCAGAACTTACTTCCAAGAAAATACATGTAATTTTGTTTTCACAATAGCTAGGAAACACACATCTGATACTTACACTATTTTCAATTTGCATTCCTTGTTCTTTTCACACATGACAATCCATTGTTGGCTAAAGCATGCATTGTCAGGCACAAGTGTTAGTATGCTGCTTTTGGCATTTTTCTCACTTCTACTTTCAACTACCCCATAGGTTAATTGTAAGTTGTAGAAGTGAGAACCCCTCCAAGTAGCAATGGGCTCATTTGTTCCTCTCACTGCTGGCAATTTCTGGGTTAAATAATTGCCAGATTGGTGCTAAGTGCTCACTGAATACATCTGTTGGGAAAAAATAGTAACTACTTAATATGTTTCTTACAACAGAAGGTTCTGAAAGGATTTACTCTCCTGAGATGGAGACCAATGAGATTGAACGGCAGCAAATGCATGTCCAGGATGCATCACAAAATCAGTTAAGCCTGTATGCAACTGCCCATGACGAGGCTGAAAGAAATGAAGTCATAAGCAAACAACAAATGTGTAAGGAAAGTTCCTTTATAACATGTATTTTTTAATTGAATACCAAAGCACCTTGAAACACATCAATCACACTGGCTGCTTTTTCCTCAGCTCAAATAGTTTCCTGTGAAGTACGGTTAAGGGACCAGTGCAAAGGAACAACATGTAATAGGTAGGATGCACTTCACACTTCCATCAGAATCTCCAAAACCATATGTGTTTATCTAACAATTTATTTCTTGTCAGTCCTTCTTAAATGAATTTCTGTTTTAATTTTCTAGATACGAATGCCCTGCTGGCTGCTTGGAAAGCAATGCCAAAGTTGTTGGAAGTGTACATTTTGACATGGTAAAAAAATGTAATTCATATTCAGGGTAGCACTGTTGATAGCTAGGAAGGTTAGCTAACATGTATTATTTCTGACAAAATATTTGGTAAACAATACTTTCTCAGAAATCCACATCAAATCCACATCCAGAGACGCATAGTGATTGGACAGGTTATAAATATCCCAAACAAACAAAAAAACAAACAAATAAATAAACTTCACCCACTAAGAGAGTAATCCCAGAGCTCCCTTGACAGTGTCTAGAGAGCCAGAGTGTGACTTGGATTCCAAAGTTGGAAACAGAGCTTTGACCTCAGATTTGGGAATCTGTGCTTGGATTGCCCTCCCCACTTTGTATCTGGTATTTGGCTGCTTCTCTGAGGTCAGAAAAGTGGGTATTTCAGAATGAAAGGGATGGGTAAAGACTGGGACTGCCAGTATCCTGATGGTAGGTCACTCTTCTTCCTTTTTTTACCAAGCACTGTAGCTAGATGGCCAAAATTGGTCAACCAGCTGAAATGCAGAGTAGTTGAGGGATGCAGAGATCACCTCTAGATCTTCCCATACTCTTCACTGGAGGTTCATAAGCCTCCAAGTTCAGGGATTGTGCCCTAACTTATTCTGAGGTTAAGATCTGTTTAACTGGCAATGTATATGCAAGGTAATCCACACGTTTAATCAGGATGTCATTTCTGACATTACCTGCCAACTCAGCACTGACAGCATCCAGAAGAGCAAGTTTATCAAAATGCATTTTCATAGAACTGAAGTTTTCCTGCATTTAGAAATTTAAACAAGACAGGGCAATACTTGTGGCAACAAGATAGCTTGATTGCTAGCAACAAGGAAAATGCCTTTTCCATGGTGGCACCCCTCTTATGGAAAGAACTCCCCCCAGAGGCTTGCCCACCAACCTTAATATTTTTTCAGTGGCAGGCTAAGAGTGCTCTCTACATTTGATTAGTTTACCATGGCATTGTAAGTCATTTAAACAGGTTTAATCAGGTTCACTGTTTTACCATGGAATGTTATATGTGTTTTAAAGGTGGTTTTACATGTTGTATGACAATCCCCCCGCTCCACATGTTTCTATAATGTTATGTATTTTAGATTGTATTTTAATAGATTTTTGTAAACCATCCAGATAGCTTAGGCAATAAGGAAGTTAAATAAATAAGGAAGGAAGTCTAACAAACAAATCATATTTCTGTGATTTTCTTTCCTAGCAATCAAGCATTTGCAGAGCTGCAATACATTATGGCATCCTAGACAATGAGGGTGGCTGGGTTGATGTTACCCGGCAGGGAAGAAGACATTATTTCATAAAGTCCTATAGAAATGGAGTTCAGTCCATTGGGTGAGGGAAAAAAATCATTCTTTCACAAATAAAGTGCATAGTTATAAGATTTTAAATATAATGCATTGTTTGTTAATACAAATTAAATAATTAATTTATTCAAAGCATGTAAAATTAATTTATTTTTTATCATATAATACTAGTCAGTTTTTACTGTTGTGTTACTTGACAGACTAAAGCTATGAAGCTTGAGAATCAATTAAAATTTACATCTGTCAAGTTTTTCAGAATTTGGTTTCCCATACATTCGCATTCTCTGTTTAATAATTTCTGCTAATTCTTGTACAATATGTAAGACATTGTGTTGTTGAATGGAAATTAAATACCCTCCAATGATTTTAAATCAATCATCATTGTTTGGAATATTCTTACATGCTTACCCCTTGGATACAAGCTTTTACATTTTCTGAATCAATGGAGATGCAGGGCCCTGACAAAAGGTGGGCTGAGAGACTGGTAAGAGCTGGCAAGGGAACAGGAAAGATGGACTGATTTGTGTTCTATTTTTCCTCCTCAAAATCAGCTCAGCAGGTCACTGAGCCAGTTTGACTAGGTGGTTGAGCAACAGAGAGAACAAGATACTGCAGATCCTGGCTTCTTATCTTTTCCCCACCCAATGGAACACACACCCCTTTTGACCTTTATGAGGTTATCCAAGTCACTGTTGAAACTTCAGAAGGAAATCACTGTGATGTTGCCCATGGCAGCTGCAAGGCTGATAGAGTAAAGATTCAATATCAGATTCACCCTCTGAAAGTTCTAGGCATGTCTGTGATTGAAAGGGAAAATCCAAAGTATCCATGTGGCATAAATGTATTGTTGGTCTATGATCTTTTCCCATTTTTTGTTTAATTATATAAATCAAAAGATCTCAGTTTTACAGGCAGTACCAACAAAGATGCACACCCTATTCTCATAACTGGGTGGAAGCCCCAGCTTCATTTCTTGCTTACAAATTTGATATGTTTGATCATATTTTTTTCAGGCAGTCTACTCATCCTTCCCTCACAGGGTAGATTGATAACAAAAAGGCTTCCCAATTTATAGACTTGTTCAAACAGTACAAGTCTATAAATATTGCTGCTATCTGATCTAATCAAAGCTTTACATGATAGAAAGAATTGTAACTTTCTAATTGTAGCTAAGGATTTTTTCATTAAAAATCTGGGCCTCTAGCACAAAGTAATAAACAATAAATAAACTAAAGAATGAGAACTTTTCATTTAATTATCATTTGCTAAAAATCCCATTTGTTTTAAAGATAAAAACAAATTTAGCAGTATCCAAAGTGGGCTGCTTCACTTTGCTTGTTCTGTTGCAGTGACAGGACCCACTACTTTACCAATAAATGAACAAAAGCACTTGTCTGCAGACTGAGATGGGTAATTCCATAAACAAGCACATTAATCCATTTTGGTTGAGTTTTAGAGTGCTGAAGTTCTGTTGTATGAGATGCAGATCTGTAAGTGCAAGGGCAAAATATTATACTAGCATTAATTTTTTTATTCATTCAGCTTCTTTTCAAACAATTAACACAGTTCATTTATGTCTGAAAGTGATCCATGCTGGTTGGCATGTATTTTATTCCAGAAAGCTACATCTATGCCATTCTTTTCAATTACGTTATTATTTGTACTGTTATATGCTTTGTTGTGCATTATGTAACATTAATTTTCTATTGTAGCAAATACCAGTCTGCAAATTCCTTCACAGTCTCTAAAGTACCAGGTAATTTAAATATAACATTTATAGCTTATTAGTTTACAGGCCATGTAATTGCATATATTTAATATAATTGTGCATGAATTTTTTTTTCAGTGCAAGCGATTACTTGTGAAACAACTGTGGAACAATTATGCCCATTTCACAAGCCAGTCACACATTGTCCAAGGTAAGCATGTTAATTTTTCCTTCATTGGCATCTCTTTCAGTCGAAAGAAGCCTATAGCTGAGCATGCAGTGTGAATTTTCAGTTTTAGCCACTAGATTCTTGTGTGTTTTTCAGCTTTAGACTGTTGAAATTTTCCTGAAATTTGTGAATGTGAGATGATACTTTATTGATGCATTTATTTATATTATAAAATATGAAAGAAAATATGTAATGATAATACATTAGGCTTTCTCACCCTCATTCCTGAAATGAACTTTGCAATTCATACAAGAAGCTCTCTGTGTATATCTGTGTATATCAGAGCATGGACAGGGGTATGAGTTGGTGACAAAACTGGAATTGTTCAAAAATCTCCAAGCAATTTACTGTATTATTTTGAAGCTCCTGTGAAATAGTGAAAAAGAAATAAAACATAACAAAGAAATGCATTGTTTCTTTATCAATTGCCTTATCAATTTACTTTTTTCTTTAATTAAACCAAAGGATAGAATAATTGTCTTTTTAATGTTAATATAACATTCACAGCTGAAATAGTTCTTTCTCTCTGTTTTTTCTTACTTATTTTAAGGGTATATTGTCCTCACAATTGCATGCAGGCAAATTCACACTATGCTCGAGTAATTGGAACACGAACATATTATGATGTAAGTAGGATGACACTTTAAAATCTGAAATAATATCATTTATACAAATATTAACAGTTTCATGAAATTATTTTAACAGTGAAGTTTTTTCACTCTCCAGTTTAATTCTAGTGTAGGCATTCGCTTTAAAAAAGGGACATGACCTCAGGCATGGGACCAAATCTGTTCCCCTGGAGTCCCAGTGTGGCTCTCCCAGGTCCTTCAGATGTCTATGCTCCTTTCTCTGGCTCCAGCCTCCTATGCCTTGCCAATGGGTGATTTCTAGCTTTTGTGCAGTTTTTCCCCCATTCTGAAAGGTTGAAATGCCACTTGGAAGACTTTGTTACTGGGCACCTGAAGTTAAACTACAATATGCTGCTATTTTTGGAATTTTGGCCCTATCCTTCTTGCTTTTGTCTTCCCCTTTTGGCATTCATCCCACCTATCCTGGAATGTGTCTCCCAAGAGCTTTTTTGAAGTGAAACATGTCTTCTAAACTGAAAGTAATTTAAAACCTCTACTTGCAAATTGGTTCAGCCACTTGGAAACAATTTTGAACCAGTCCTAATGGGAAAAACATATCTTGCTGCTAAATAACATAAAACACTGAAAAAATTGCATAACACTATATTCCCCAACAAATATGTCTGTTTTGAGGATATTGGTAAAAATATAGTTGTGAAGATCCTTTGGTGGGAATTGTTTTCCCCCTTTCTAGGGCCTGAATATGAGTCTTTGAGGAAAGACATGGCACCATGTAGGGAATCTATGGAGGCCCCAGCCAGTGTTAAGTGTGAGGAGTGTAGCCTAGACAGTTAATGGTGGTTTTCCTAACAGCTCCAGATGCTGCTTTGGAATGCCAGATGGGTCCAGAACAGGACCACTTTTACCCATGATGTAATAGTGAATGGAGTAGCTAATCTGATATGCATTACTGAGACCTAAGTGGGTGAACAGGAGGGATTAATTTTGTGCCCAGCATGTACTTGATTCAGTATCAGGGATAACCTGAAGGCTGGGGATAGGGTGCTGCTGAGGTCTACAGGAATGCTTTCTCTCTCCAAGCTCCCTGTCCATCTGAATACTAGTCTATATCTTGTGCAGAATCAGTGCAACAGATTAAGGACTCTGTTGATAAACTGCCCTCCCTGCTGGTCAACAAAGTCACCATCTAAGTTGACAATGCTTGTATTGCTGGGGTCTCCCAGATTGCTAGTCTTGGGAGAAGTTGACATCTATGCCTAGGGAATTTTATCTGGGGCAACTTGGGATTTCATGGACTTCATGACAACTATGGGAGTATCCCAAGATGTCATTGGCCAAACATATACAGCAGGGCACACTCTAGAGATTTTTTTTTACCCCCACCTGAACTTGAAGGTAGTGATCTGAAAGCAGGGAAAATTGAATCGGTCCCTTTGTTGTTTTTCCCCTCTGCAAGCAAGCAGGACTTATTGTGATTGTCAGTTCCTGGATGCTAATGGATCCAGATGGTTTCCAGAGTACCCTTGGTGGGTTTCTGTTTGATAAAGCTGGTGGTCCTGTTGAATCTCTTCTAGCCTCTGCAGGAAAGCTTGGTTAGTGGTGAAAAGAAAAAGGGTCTTCTCAGTGGTCCTACCCCCACACCTCAGTCCATATGTCCTGCCAGTCCCTCTAGTGTACAGGGACCACTGATGAGGATACTACACGCTCCTGTGGTTTGTCTCAGGAGCACCTGCAGTAGCATTTCATGTTGAAGTGTCAACCCGCTGGAATGTTTTACCAGTTGAAAGCCTCGCACCATTCTGATGTTTAGACATCTTTTCGAACTTGATGTCAAAAAGATCAAGTTTTCTGTGAAGAGCTTTAGTTTGTACCACATGGTAGGGCATGCAGTTTTACTGCTGATTAATTTTGTGTTGTGGTATTTTATAGTTATATTTATTGCTCCTTTAATGCTATTCTATTTTACACTCTCTGATTTGATACCTCTGTAGTAAGTGGTATATAAATCTGAGTAATAACTAAGAATTCAACCAGGCTACTGATTTATGCCAACACTCCTGTTTGAATTCTCATGATGTCTCTAAACTGTGTGCTGTAATAAAATGCTGCACAAAGACAATATTGATGTCTTTGTATCTAATTGTATTATTCATTCATTTATTTTATTTACAGTGTTTATATATGACTCCATATTTAAACAGATTCTGAAATGGTGAACAATAAAATATAAACAGATAAAAAGAATAAAACAGCATGTTGAATATTTTGTTTTTAAAAATCTGGTATTGAAAAACAAAACTAGGTTGGTCAATCAAAAAAGGCATCTTGAATAAAGATATTTTAAGGTGGGAGAGGGGTGGGTAGGATCAGAAAAGCCACAATGTTGGTGCCTGCCTGATTGCCACAAGGAGAGAGTTTCATGAACAGGGAGCCTGATAAACTCTGTGTTAGCTGATTGCTGTGTCTCTTAGTAAGATTCAAGTTTTCTGCCTTCTGCCTTGCAATGAAATAAGCACAAATTACACAAAATTAGCCAAAAAGGAATACTTATTTCAACAGCAGTAACTGGCATTTTCAGAGCAGACTAGAAATTATTGTTTGGGAAAGAACACAGTCCAAGCTTATTGTTGTTTCACAATTGTCTTTTGGTGCTTGACAAAGGAAAGGTTCAAAGCCATATACTTCAGAGTTGCAAGACAGAATGGCGCACAGGTAGCACTTAAAACAAGAAAGGTGTGGTGTTATGAATGCGTCCGTGGCTCATTTTCAAGGCTTTCATCAACACTCACTTGTTAAATCTGGGAATATTTATTTAATCAGAAATGTGTGCAAATGATCAGACTCCATGCCCTTTAAAAATAGCTGTATGCTGATAATTGCAGTTGTATACAAGAACTAGGCTGAGAACAACTATGCTGCTACATGAGCTGAATATCATGTTGCATTTGGGTTGTATGTAAACATCTCTCTGTTGGAAGTAACAGCTGTCATTAATAGCATTGGGAACAAATACTATCTGTGGACATAAATGCTTAAAAGAGCCTTTAAAAAGCGGCTAACATGCTTCTGCAAGCTAATGCTATGCTGCTGTAGATACCTGGTATTTTGCTGAGTCGCAAAAGAAGACAAATGATTAAGCAGCTTGGTATTCAAGCTCTGTGACCTGTTAAATGCTGATGAATTCCAAAGAGTTCATAGCTCAGTAATAAAGGAAGGCCTTGTAATACTGTATGAAATGTTTCTGCTAACTTTGAAAATGCATTGAGTTACCTTATGTATGGTTGGGGTTGTATTACATCTCAGTAAACTCATTAGCCCAAAAGCTTGAAAAAAAGCTGCTCTTTCAAGTCTGATGGCAAATGTTTTGCTGAATAAGCAATGTTTAAATGCAGAATATGACTACATTTTAGGGCTAGTAAGGTATTCTCATTTGGGGTTTATTAGAGATACCATATTCCAAAATAAAATGATCATATGAATACTCAGTTTCTGAGAGCTATAAGAGAGCTACAAGCCCTGGTTATCTTTGAATCAGTTACTAAGGTCATGCCCAGGAAATACTCATTAACAAAAATAAGGAAACTCCAAAGTAGCTTGGGGTACAGACCTATAGCCTTCCAACATTGTCAGAGTGGGAACAGGATAGCTCAGAGTTTGAGCTGTGACCTCAGAAGTGCCTGCCAAGTCAGAGTAGGAACTGAGACCTTGGTACCTGGCACAGTTATTTCCACACTGCCTGGGCTCCAGCTACAAAAGGTAGGGACTTTCAGGAGAGTGGAGAAATAAGTGAGGCAGTGCTATCCTCTTAGGAAATCCTGGCAGTGCTTGAGCTTCTCCCCACAAGGAGGGGGAAGACATCTGAATTATCAACATTGGCTAAGTTATTGGAAGGCAAGGAGACCCCATCCTAGCTTGTTCATTCCTCCCTCCCTGAACTAGATTGTAACCTTCCAAGTTTGGAGGATACAAGGAGCCACATTGGATGGACAATTAATCTGCAGTCTACTCCATTTTTAATCCTTCTATTTTAATGTTTCTTAGGTATCTAGTATTTGCCGAGCAGCTCTCCATGCTGGAGTAATTCGCAATGAAGGAGGCTTTGTTGACATTATGCCAGTTGATAAAAGAAGAATGTACAATGCTTCATTTCAAAATGGCATTTCTTCAGAAAGGTATGAACCACAACTTTAAAGTACTTTGGTTACTGTCCACATACATGCGTAGCCTGCCATGCTTTGCAATCCTACATTACATGTTGCAGTAGTTATACTAAATGCTAATTAAGTCAACTGAGTTGTTTAACAACGGCAATGCTAGAAGAAGCAGTGGTACAAGTGTTTTCAGTTTCCCTTAAGCTAAAAGCATAAGTCTAAAAGCTGCTTATGAATAAAAATAACCTACTTGTATATTGATCCTGTTACAGTGTTGTAATAGCACATTTTCATTGGAATTCTTAAGCTTTAGCTTTGCATTGAAGTAAACTAGGAAGGTTATGTACATGTATGATTTATATCCATACCTATGGACACAAATCCACAAGCAATAAGAAATAGGTATCTCATTGATTGAAACAGTAGGAGGTAAACTTCCTAACATTTAAATTTAGAAATTCTTCACTTTAACTGGGTTATAGTCTCATTGTTTTCAAAAAATGGGCAAATCAGCTTTTATACACGTTAATCCTTTTTGGGTGACATTGCCATTTATATAGACAACAGAAAGATAAATACTAAAATTAATCAGCTGCATTAGATTTAACCCATGTTTTAAAACTCAAACTATGCACTCAAATGATATATTGCATGCTACAGAATCTACAGTGGTAAAATAACTGTTTGTCCCCCTGACTTTCTTTTGATAATTACAGTCTTGGTATAATTTGGCACTTCTTTGTCCATAATATCCTTGACACGAAGTTGGACTTGGTGGAGCTGCAGTGTTAACATTTTGCCCTTTTCCTTCAAAAGTACTATTGTGGACTCCTGCTCAAGCAGTAGAACTTTTGTTTCCCCTCTTCCATTTGCTTCTTGAAGAAACTACTCATCAGCAGAACAAGGATAGCATGTGAAATTTTCTTTCCTCACCTCTTCCAAAATCTGTTCTAGAGTGCGCAGCTTTAGGGGAAGGGTGCATAACTCTCAACATTAATCTGACAGGAACTTTCTGCCGGCTGAGCAACACAGGTTGAATTGTTCCCTAGGCACTTGTGAGTAGAGCCAGGAATTTATCACAGCCCATTGCTATACTGAGCGTTTAACCCAACTACTTGTATGCATATGTGCTTGTGAAGCCAAAAAATGAAAGGACTGACTTGCCATCTCTGTTGCTTTCCTTCCATCACCGCCTTACTCCCCTTGTTTGTACCAGCTGGCTCACCCTCAGACCCTCAGAATGCGTGTCCTTCTGGAAGGGCATGGATGCTTCTGAGGAACTGTGAATTTGACAGTTCCATATGCATGCATGAGAGTCTAAATCCAACATTTTAAAAAAAAGCTTCTTAGTACGAGGGGCAGGGGGAATACAGTGATCCATTCAATTAATTTAGGCTTCCTCTCCCAATGAAGTGAATACCAGCACTGTAGGGATGGCTTTTATTTTTATCAATGAAACAAGTGGAATAATCATAATCAAACAAACAATTGGCCTGCTATCTGCTTCACTGCACTCACAGCTACAGGTGTGAATTGTACAGCAGTCTGTTTGAGCCAATTTGATACTAACATATAAAATCTATAATAAGTGTTTTGTTTAATTTAATCTGGAACTTAAAAACTGTAAGATTTTTTAAATCATGATTAGCAAAGTAATCAGCATCAAAACATGTAACAATAAAAGCAATATAATCAATAAGTGTTCATTAAGTGAACAATAAACTATACAGTAGGGAAAATACAAGATAAAAAAGCTCCACAGTGAGTGCATCATAAATCAGTTTACCACAAAAAACCTCTTAAAACTGTTTCCAGTTCCCATCAACAGGTTGAGATTAGATTAAGGCAACTCTAGGACGGAATTCCATAGCCTTGGTACCACTTCTGAGAAGCCGCTGCTCCACATAACCATGCATCTTGTCCTCAGTCATGGGTAGTGTCATTGTAGATCACAATATAGTTAGTACCATTCATAATGTGGAAGCTTACATACTGATCTGTGAAATGCATTACTTCTTTATTTTCCCTTTGCAGTTTACAAAATCCTCCAGGAGGCAAGGCATTCAGGGTGTTTGCTGTGGTTTGAAGACAGCAAGAAAACAGTACAAATAATATCAAAACACAGTGCTTGGAAGATGAGAAAGAAAATGCCATTCATCTACTTCTTGAAATTTGTACAAAGGTGTAATGTTGCTGAACGGAAGATATTTACTGTTTTCTGATTGGAAAAGTGTTTAACTGCATATAAATCTAACTGGGGGAAAATCTGTAAACATGGGAAAATTCATATAAGAAGCTATGATCATAAATAACTTGTTTTGAATCCTGTGTTAAATATTGCTATATTTTCTTAGCATGTATTCCGATGCAGTTCATTCAAAGCTCATAAATGTTCCAGTTTAAAAATCCAAATACATGATGTTTATGTATGCCACTAAGGTTAAGTATATCTATGATAGATCCTTTATCCTTGTACATAGAATCATTCATTGCTTATAAGTGGCAGGTGGTGGGGAAAGGGGAAGAACTGAAGCCCTGAAGCAAACAATGAACACATATTGCTACAGAAATGTACAATAATCAGCATGGAAACTTGTGCAAGTTTCATGCCAGTTTTCCTCTGACTTTTTATAAAATGCCAAGTACAACATATCCTGGCATATCCTGGGACACAGACTAGGTATATAGTTTTTGTATTGTGTTTGTACACATCCTTTTTTAAAAAATGAAAAATATAAACAAGTACTACTAACTGCACAGTCATTTACATAATTTGGTGCAATGTATGGCTAAAAATTAAGGATTTTTATTTGCCACCTTATCAGGTATCATTGGGACTTACATTTCAGGAAAACTTTAGAATTGAGTTTAAATCCAGACTAAGTTCCTTTTTGTTCCAATTCTAAGTAACGCCAGTAAGCACAGGTTTGTTGATAGGACTGACACCCCACACAACATACTTTGGCCTATACAGTATATGGTTTTGATCGATGGAGAAGCTTCGCTGTAAAGCAATGTATCGCATAAGCCCTAAATTTATTCAGACCTGTGCAGAGATTCACTGGCTAACATGTAGGGCTAAGCTGGCTGTGTTGTAACCCATTCCCCCTATATCCATGTGTGCCTCACTGCTAATTAGACCTTTGTGTATTGAATGCAAAAATCTGAAATGCTCTTTGCAAGCACGTTCAGTTGAACACACTTAGAGAGAGCCCTTGTTAGGAAGCTCTAATAAGTGCTGGACAAACCTGCTCAAAATGTGAAGGTCTACCCAGCAATCTGGTGCAAGGGTACACTGGGGTGAGGGGAATACATGTGCATCCGTGTCCTTCACCCTTTTTTATCATTACATGTGGCAATGCATCTGGCATTTATTCCTGCAGGGCAGGACACGGTGCCAAAGATTGCTATCCCATCATTTTTCAACATTTTATCAAAATAGCCCTATGCATTAAATCTACCATATTGTGGTATATTAGGAATCAATATATAAGGATAACAATATCACATTTTCTATGAAAAGTGTCTAGTATAACACTGTAAAATGGAAAAATGGTGGTTTTAGGGGTTTTTTGTAATGTTGAAATTGAACTTTAAAGTTTCTTTCAAAATATCATTGGTACTGATATTCTTCATATATGCATCACAGTATTATTTTGTTTCGCTACATGTACTACCTCATGTAGTTAGGCAACTATTTTTAGCTTTTTTAAAAAATTCTTTTTAAATAAAAGTCAATTAAATGACAATACATTTTAAGGTATTTTTTTACTCCTACAGAAATGAATAATTAGTCTCTCTCTCTCTGTTTTCCTCATGTACAAACACCCCATCCACAAAGGCTGTGAAAAATGCTTTTATAAACCAAAGCTGTGTTTAGAAAGTGCCAGGAGAAGGAGTAAATCATTGGCATTGTCTCCTTCTGTTGGTTCTTATTATGGAGGGGACAAAGAGCACATGGCACTGTTAAGATCTCAAAAAGGCATCACTTTAAAAGTGTAATAATTATACCTTTTCCTACACTTTTACTATAGAGCAGATAGCAGGTCTACCTGATCTGGACTGGGACCCTGGCATGGGAAATGTGGGTTTCTAAAATCAGATTGGCCACCTTGGGGTTACTAGTAATGGAGTACAAGTAATAAAAGACTAGGTGCTAAGAGGCATTTATAATAAGGTCCCTGTTTTGATCTTTAAGCAGCTCTCTAGGCAGTGCCACATAAGCCTGGCCCATTGCTGATTCCCCTTTCTGTAACTGTGTGTAAAACTCACTGGCAATCAAACTTTTCCCATCTGAATAGCTCCAAAAAGGGATGTGAAGATCAGCCCAGAAGCCAGTTGTTTTGCACTTACCAGAGTTATTTACTGTACTTGATCTTGGGGAGGAAGTGAGCCAAGCTGAGAACAAGTCCACAAATGCTCAGGAATGCTAGTGACTTCTCTGCGCAAAGTACACAAAGAGAGTAATTCTTTGTGCAAAGTATGCAAAGCCTACAAATCACCTATGCAAAAGCAGGACCTCCACCTGCACAGAGTGATGGACTCACTTAGACTTGCATCCTGCTGCACATCCATGTGAACACTCCGTGCAAGATGACCTTAGGGCAGAGATGACGCGAGTTGGAGTCTGAGGAACCTAATGGAGGAAATCTGATGGACTCTTACTGCCAAATCAGATTTCTCACAGAATGCTGTCATATCTCCCCTAAGGCTTCTCAAAGTAAAACATGTCCAATTCTTCCTGCAAAGGACCTTGTTTCCAGTCCCCACGATTATTTTGTCTGCTGTTTCCAGTTTGTCTGCATCTTGATCTGTGGTGGCCAGAATTGCATGCAGTACTCTAAATATGGCCTAACCAGTAATAAGTAAAGGGGAGCTATTACTTCGCATGATTTGGATACTTTTTAAAATGGCACATCACATTGTTGACTTATCTTCAGTTTGTGATCTACAAAAATTCCAATAACCTTCTCACTTGTGGTATTGTTGAGTCAACTGTCTCCCATCTCATAACTGTGCAAGTGGTTTTCCCCCCTCTAGGTTCAGAACTTGGCATTTGTTCGTATTAAATTTCATTTATTTGATTTCAGTCCAGAACTGCCAACCTATCAACATCATTTTGAATTTTGTTTCTATTTTCCAGGGTATTAGCTATCTCACTCAATTTTATTTCATTGCAAATTTGGTAAATGTTCTCTACACCTCCTTGTCTAAATCATTAATAAAAACATTGAAAAGTGCTGGTCCAGGACTGAACTTTTCCAGTTTGAAAAGATGCTATTGATAAGAACTCTTAGGATGATCCTGTAGTCAACTCAGATCCACCTGTTAATTTTTCTATATTGATCACATTTAGCTAGTTTGTTAATCAGGATATATTGGGACTCTTTATCAAAAACTTTGCTAAAGTCAATATATATCATATCTGCTGAATGATCCACAAGAGTTACTCAATTAAAAACAGATCAGATTAATCTATCAGGATTTGTTCTTGAAAAATCTATGTTGTCTTCTAATAATTGCTGCATTGTTTCCAAGGTGTTTGCAGAATAACTGCTTTAAAATTTGCTTCAGAATTTTCCTAGGGACTGACTGGTAATTCCCAGGTTCCTCCTTTATTTGCTTTTTAAACATAGGGACAACATTAGCTCTCCTCTAGTCATTGGGCACCTCATCCACTCTCTGTGATTTCTCAAAGATAATAAATAGTGATTCTGATTGCTCTTTGCCAGTTCCTTTATTACTCTAGGAAACAGTGCTTCCGGCTCTGGAGATTTGAACTTTGAAAAGTAATCAGGTGTTCTTTAACTATTTGCCTATTTTCTTTGCCTCTTCAGCTTGTACTTCACCTTTGCCAGGAAGGTCATAGAGACTTTTGGGAGAAGACTGAGTCAAATTAGGAATTGCACAGTTCTGCATTTTCTTTGTCATCTGCTATCACTGCTATCTGTTATTCTTACTGAGTAGTTGAAACACCATTTCTTTCCTCTGTCTTTGCCTATGAACATAACTGAAGCTGGGTTTTTTTCTTTCAGTGTTCTTTTAGTGTCTTTTACTAAATCCAGCATTTTCAGCTGCACCCTTCCTAACTCCATCCCTGCATCTTATGCTACCTGTCTGTATTCTTACTTTGTAGCCTGTCCTTTTTTCACTTTCTATATGTGTCTTCATTTTCACATGACTGGGCAGCCAGAGAATAATTTTCTCTTTGAAGGTAACTTATATCTGAAGGGTTATCCCATCCAAGTCCTGTTTAAAGGTATAGAAACTTAAGAAGATTGGAAAACAGGGGCCTTGCAATTGTCCATCAGCAGCTCATACTTGACCAGCAGACCGAGCAGGGAGAAGCACACATCACCTGGTCACAGGCTTCTGCACCATTATGAGCAATATTGTATTCCCATTTAAGTTACAGGAATTCTTTTTGAATTTGAATCTCTTTATATGCCAGTTTCGTGCAGACTGAGCTCTGTGTGTTTGTGCTGCATGTTCTCTTTTTCCCAAACGTGTAATTGGCCTTCCTAAATGTGACCTAATGCTGAGAAGTGGCTTTTATATAGAATGATGCTGAAGATAAATCTTATAAAGTGGTTCAAGAGTAAGCAAGTGCTTTGATTTCTGGTTCACCTAATCCTATTCTAAAATATGACTTGCTTTCCTATTATTTTCTGCAATGTAATCATTATATCATGTATCAAAAATCAAGCAATTAGAAAATAAGAATTGTTAGTTTCAGTATATAAAACTTGCAGAATGTGTTCCTTTGTTCATTTGTTAAAAATAATCTGTTTTTGTTTTATTTTTATGTATTTTGGACACATTTGCCTTCTGAATAAGCAATTCTATTAGAGTTTCAGAGTAGATCCAAAACCTTTTGGGCAGCAGGCAGCATAAAGCAGAAAAACAGAGACATTATTATTATTATTTGTATTCAGCAAGCTTAGTTTCCAATTCTGGATTTAATCCATTTCAGTGCACAAAGGATTGCATTGTGAGAACCAATTTAATACTCGGGGTGATATGCCTACCCTGGCACAGCTATAACTGATCCAAGAGCTAAGAAATGGTTTAGTGAAATATTCTAATCCTCTCTCATTCATCTAGAATGAATTACAGGCTGCATTAGACAGCTCTGTGTGGGTGTGTTTTAATGGCTAGGTGATTGAGCAGAGGTGAAAACAGCATTGAGTCTTTCAGCATTGGGTTCAAGGTTAAGTAATATAACATTGGAAGCTGCCCTAAATTAGGTCAGACTATCAGTTCATCAAATACCATCTTCTGCCCAGGATTCAAACAAAAGTAGTTATGCTTCAGTTGAAGGGAGTAATTTGACCCATTCCTTCATCTGATCTCCACTATGGATTCTACTTGTGATACTTTATGGCACTGAACTAGGAGAGCAGCCTCTGTCCCATCCTCTGTCCCATCCTAGATGTTTGGATTCAGGGGATTCAGGTGTTTCCCTACTTGGATGACTGATAGTTGTCTGCTGTGTCCTGAGATGAACTCTTGGTGTGAGTCACATGCAGTCTCCTAGAGCTTCTGGGTCTGTGTATTAACAGTGCAAAATCTGTCTTTTATCCTTTCCAGTCCTATGCTATACATCAGAGAGAGGCTCAATGTGATGATAGCACAGGTGTACCTACCAGCATCCCCCTGGGACCATCAGCATAATGGAAGTTGCCTTCTGCAGGAGGACTGAAGGAACCCATGAATGTCCTAACACAGCTCTTCCAGATCTGGGGTACCTCATCTATGGACTTTTCACCCAGCCAACCAACTGGTGTGCAATGCCTTCTGCTCCTGAGTTGGGGTTACCCAGGGCTCAATAGGCGATGCATTCCTTCTCTGCTGGGAAAGGACACAGTTTCTGCTGATCACAAGATTGCTGGCAAAGATCCAGAGGAAAGGCACCTCCTGCATTGTCATCATGCCATGGTGGCTGTGACAGACATGGTTCACCTACTTTCTCCATCTGTCCAAGCACAACTTCATATGGTTCCCTTTGAGACCAGATATCATCTCTTGGGACTGAGGGATGTTTGCACCTGGACGTTGGCATAATCCATCTCACAGCATGGAAGATTGGCTGGTACACTGAGATATTCTCTTTCTTCCTGAGGTAAAGGTAATCTTGGATGTGGCCCTGCAACCAAACATGATTACCTACACAGTTCCTACACAGTGAGATGGGATATTTTTTCAGCCTTCACTTGGGAGGAAGCCTTAGGGTTCTTTTCTGCATTGATCCATCAATCCTCATTTTCCACAGAGACTAGGAAGTTCTTCAGCCCAACCAGACATTGTTCCCAAAGGTTACATCACAATTTCACCTTCATCAGGACATTATTTTGCCAGCATTCTTTCCAATGCTCTTCAGCCCAATGCAGTTGGCCTGCATTCCCTGGATGTGTGCATAGCGTTGGCATGGTCCTGTGCTGAATCCTTCTGCAGGTCCCAGAGACTCTGTCACTTATGGCAATCAGTCCAGAAGTATCAGCCCTCAGTGACCTGCATACTTGGTTATCGAAACCATCAAGCTGGCCTACCAGGTGTCTGGACTACAACTTCCTGAGGGATCGAGGGAACACTCTATAGGAATCATGGCAATGCCTATAGTACTACACACTTGTATCCTGCTGCACTATCCCTGCAGAGTGTGATATGGTCCACTCCATCAACCTTTATCTGGCACTGCCAGCTCTATGTCCATGCCAAGTAAGATAGCTTCTTCAGCCAAGTAGTTCTT